GATGGTTTATTAACATGGTTGAGAACAAAACTGATAAAATGTAAACAAGTAAGTAAATAGATCATAACAATTAATAAGACATATGATTTTATCCTCAAATGGCAGGCAGTGGAGAGTATACATAGAGTACTTCTAACAGGCACTGTAACCTATGTTCCCGCACTTGAAACAATTTCAAATAATTTGGTATATAATGCTCTTAAGTAAAGGGTGGAGCGCGGTAATTTGCTTATTTGGGAGTGGAATAAACAAATTATGAACATGTAGAAACTTAATTTTATATTTCACTTACATTGAACAGTAATGGAATTTACAAATTATTTTGTTTTAAATATTATATCTGGCAAATGTTGACCTTCCCGATCCACACACTGCTGCATACGTTTTCTGAAGTTCTCATGCACTTTTTCAAGCATGTCGACTGGTATTCTGGCAATCTCAGCAGCAATATTGTTCCTTAGGTCTTCCAGGGTTTTGGGACGGTTGCAATACACCTTGGACTTCAGGTAACCCCAAAGGAAAAAATCGCATGGAGCTAAGTCCGGTGAGCGTGCCGGCCAGTTCAGATCACCATTGCGAGAGATGAGCCGTTCAAGCTGGGTTTTCCTAGCAGCGGAGTCGGCCGGCGGAGAGCGGACAACGGAGAGCGGACTCAGCTGGTCTTCGGCAATTTAATGTTACTGTTTTCCTAGCAGCGGAGCGGACCGCCACGGGCCGAGCGGAACTCGCTTCTCCGCGTTCGGTTGTCTAGTCGCGGGACGCGGAGAGAGGAACACGGAGAGCCGAATTAGTTTTTAATTGAATGGTAATATTTTTCTAGAGGCCGAAAATCGCTCTTCCGCGTTCCTCTGCTCCAAGAGCAGAGAAGTCCGCTGACCGCTGGCGGACTGGCCGGGTCTCTGTACATTAATTTATCAAAGTACCTATCAACCACACTTTGCTCGAGTTGAGGAGAGCAGTAGTGGTCTTTGGTCAATGACATTCATCCAAATATTTTAATCAGAGAATTTCCAATATAGGAAATATGCTATTGCCGTAGGTCACATAGTAAAACCTAAACACGTGCCCGATTTACTTTTGTCTTTTTTGAAGACTCCAGAGACCAAAACACGTGTACAATCTGACACAGGGTGTCTGAGAAAAACGATTCAAATCAAAGGGATACGATTCCTCATACCAAAATAAAGAAATATGTTCATAAAATATGGCAGAAAATGAATATATACCCAGGTATCCGCAGTTTTTTTAAAACAATATTTGTATCTTTGACAATATTCAACCCATCTTTACGAAACTTGATCTATATGTTAAATAATAATTTTCATTGATCTTGCAGGAAATTTCCCTATTTAGGAAGTAGCTACAGGTTTACCGTGGCACAGTAAAACTTATACCCGCGACCAATATAATAAAAAAAAAAAAAAAAACTGTTTGTTCAAATTGTTATACAGGGTGTCCCGTAAGTAAACAGCCAAACTCCGGGAAATGGTTCTGTGGGTCAAAATAAAGAGAAAATCAACAATAACATTTTTCCTAAAATCGCTTTGTTATCCAGATATCCGCCATTGTGTATTTTTTACATAAACATTTTTATTTTTGATATGTAGGTGAAGGTTAAAAAGACCATTGTTGGTAAAAAAAATCATCTTGATTCAACTTAAACATTTTTAAATGGCGGCCATTAAAATGGTTTAAGCTTAAATTATTTAAAAAACGGCTTATTTTATGAAGAAATGTCAAGAACACCTTTATTTACCGGTAGTCTTTTTAATTCCTATCAAACGATACCAAGTTAAAAAAGATCGAATAATAAATAGTTGAAATATTACGATTTTTAGGTGCACAATGGGATAGAATAAGGCAAAAGCTAGTCAGGGCGATTTTGGAAAAATGTTATTCTTGATTTTCTCTTTATTTTGACCCATAGAACCATTTCCCGGAGTTTGGCCGTTTACTTACGGGACACCCTGTATATTTATGTGTAGGGTTTTCCGTAAGTAAACAGCTAAGCTCCAGCAAATGGTTCATCGAGCCAAAATAAATATAAAATGAAGAAAACATTTGTTCTAAAATCACTTCGTTAATCAGATATCCAAAATTTCGTGTTTTTTTCAGATACAGATTTATTTTTATTTTTGGATTTATCATAGATACTGATATTTATAAAACTTTGTATGTATGTAACTTAAAGTATGTTAGAGTACAAGAGACCCATATTGAAAAAAAAAACATTGTTATTGTCTCACAAAACATTTCAGAATGGTGGTAATTTAATTTTTTCTAATATTTAAATTTTAAAAAAAATGAGGAATTTCATAAAAGATTGTCTAGAATACTTTTATTGAGCATTTAAAATTTCTTGTCAAACTTCTTTTATCATATTTTTGTCGTGAATCTTTACAAAGAAAAGTTTAAAAAAACTACAAGTTTAAAAAGCGATGAAATTTGTAATGGAAAAGAAATAAACTGTTGTAGTTTCATTGTTTAAAAATATATTTAAAAAAATTGCATTAATGAATATTTTACTATGAAACACACGTTATTACTTTAAGTACCCGTAGTGGCAAACCTAATCACTCATTAAACTTAATTTGATTGAAAAAGGAAATATGCCTAATTCTGATATTTTAAAGACATATTTTACTGAAAGTCAAATCACCGAAATGGATATTCGCTTATTCTGCAGGTTTGCTGTTGTGTGAGTATTTTTATTTTTTGTGAATTTATCTACGCAAAATGGGTCCAACTGTTATTCATTGTTTTCAAGATATAAACAAAAATTCGTGTTAGTTAGTTTTGTTAGCTAATTAAAATGTTCAGAAATATGGTGCAAACCAAAAACATCATACCCGTGGAACAACGAACAATATAATAATAAAATAGTATATAATGATAAAATACTATATAATAATAAATTATTATATAATAATATAATATTATATAATAACAAAATATTTTATAATGATTAAATATCATAATAATAATATTTTAATATATGCACCACAGAGAAGTAAGATATTTTTACTTCTCTGTGTATGCACCGGATGTTCTTACGCGGCGCGAGTGATTGTTGTGGCTGTGGCCAGGCCGTGGCTCGTCACTCATTGTTGTAGTTTGTCGCAACGTGTTGTTTACGTATCACGTAAGTGCAGCTATTTAACAATTTGAAGACAGCAGGAAGATAGCTCTCGATTATCATTGCTTTAGCAGTTAACTGTTTACTGCAAATCATCAATAACAGGTAATTAGGAGTGTGTTTTTTAGTTTAAAATTATACAGGCCTACCTACTGTATTTTATAATTGTAGCTTCACTGCTAAGCAAGTTTACTAAAATACAATTTGTTTAGTTCAACAGTTTGACCATTGGATGTAAATGTATATGTTGTATATAATATGCTCAATGGCTGGCATTACAGTGATTTTAAAGGAGTTTCTTGGTATCTATTCTAATTAAACAAACGTTTTTAAAATAAGTTGGATCCTTGGAATGAGAAGGGGCTTTAGTCCACTAAACCTCTAGCCTTTGGAAAAACACAAAACAACTGTGTAAAACCAGAAAGGGACTGAGGTCCTTTCTCTTTAAAATACTAAATTGAATTGGTCCATATCTCTATTATTAGGACTTTGTTTTTACATTATGGCTTTGTGCAGCTATGTTATAGGAATTGTTTCGGAGGCTTAACTCAATTTCATATTTTTTGTGACTGAGTTCCTTACTTATTCCAAAGTATGTTTTATACATAGGGTGAGTTTTCACCTAGTAGAGTGAAATTAAATTATTCCCCCCTAAACCCCATACAAAGAATCCATTAAAAACATTCAGAGCATGATCCAAGCACAGGGTGTTCCAGAACTGAAGGTCACAGGTTCGAATATGGAAATTTCTTTATGTCAACCCACATCTTGTTGTACATTTTTAGAAAGCTCTTGCTTGCTTAGACCCACATTTTGATAAAAACAGAACATATTATGTATATATTTATTTATTTATTTATTCATATACATGTATGTGTGTCCGTTATCACGATAACTCGAGCAAAAATGTTCCGATTTTGACGAAATTTGGTATAAACGTGAAAACCTATTCGAACGAGTTCGTGAACTAGTATGATCGGATTGTGGGAACAAGGGTTTATGGGGTAGAAGACGGTAATGACGTAATGTTTGCCAATTGTGATCATCTGCTTGTTTTAATCTTTCCTTGGAAAATAAATAAATAAATACCTACGTCATTGCCGTCTTCTATCTTGACGTCATGCTTGACGAGCATTACGGTCTGTTTTTTTAGTGTGGCCTGGCTGTAAGTAGCTCGAAACATGTACAGCATATGTAAACATTCGACACATCCAGGCAAAAGTAAGTAAATCTTACTTATAGTAAAAAATTACACAATGCATGTTAATTGCATTACCAAATAATACATTTTTATAATTTTTTTGGATGCAGGCTTTTGAAAATTTAGGACATTACGTGTATATACAAAAAATTCACAAAAATGACCGCCATTTTGAAACGGAATGAGATAATTGAGTTCTGTTTTCATAAAAATGTGGGTCTAAGCAAAGCTTTCTAAAATAAAAAAGATATGGGTTGATAACAGGAAATTTCTAGATTTGAGCCCGTGACCTTCAGTTCTGGAACACCCTGTGCATGGAATATGCTCAAAGTATTTTAAATAGATTCTTCGTATGTGATTTAGGGAGGAATAATTTCAATTCTAGGTTTTTAAATAAATTAGAATTTCTAGGTGATAACGTAATCCCGTAATAGTATGCTTACGGGTGGTCTGCCTCACTCTGTATATAGGAAGGATTGGGATATTTATTTAACAATTAATCTGATATCATTTGAAATACTTCCTTCGTTTCATCTGATGTTGTTATCTTCGATATATTATTGGAAGTTCTATCTATTGAAAGTTGTACCTATTTTAGTTTTACGTGAAAAGATAAATTTAGCAAATTGTAACATTTTTACAGTACAGCACGAAGTGTCTACCATGAGTCGGTTTACTACCTCTGACGACGAACAACTCATTGAGTTGGTTCAGGGTCATCCTATAATATGGAATATAATGGAGAAGGATTATAAGAATGTTGTGAAGAAAGAGTTTATATGGAGTGATATTGGCAAGACAATGAACAAAATTGGTAAGTGCATTATTTGTATTTATTTTCTAACAACAGTATCTAACTTTTTAATAGCTCTGTAGTTATATATTTCCACATATTACATAGGGCACAGGGGGTGAACAGCACTCACAATAATACAGTTATTAACTGTAGACGAGACTAGACAGTAGGTATGTTTTAATGTTTATTGTAGTATGTTGATAGGAAACGTTCTTCTCATTGAACATCTAAATAAATACAGTATCATATTAATCACTAGTCTTCGGCAAGAACTATGGTTGCAGGCCTACGCTGTTAACGTTATGTGCACAAGATATTTAAATTTCAGATTGGACTCTGTTCTCTATATGTACCTAGTTATAGAATGGACGAAATGGTAACTCTTTACATAATGTCAATATGCCTAGTTTACAACATAACTATGCAGGGTTATTTTAACTGCAAGCATTGACTTTATATCTACACAATGCAACCTAGTGTTTTATTAATAATCCTAACTTTCAAGCCTACGTTCGAAGATATTACAGGTTAATTTTGGTTAGGGAAAATTAATGAAATTACCCTGAATAGAGTCACAAATTTCAAACAAAAGAAATATATAATTTAAGTGAATGGCATTTTATTTGAAGTATATTGCTGTGAACTTTATAGTTGTTATTTTACACTCAAAGAAAACTAAATTATTTACAAGTATTTTACAATATTTACATATACTGTACTGATAAGAAAAAATATTCTTAAGATTATGTAGGCATATACAGTTCCCAGTTTTTCTTAAAATGTTACACGAGGAATTTATTTTCTTCTTGCTGATTTACCATTAAAATACTCTGCAAACCTTTCTCTGACTTTAAAGCCTTCCAATCTTGTGTAACCTCCTGTACCGGCCAATGGAATCATATTTTCAACTGGAAAATCATGTATAGTTTCATCAATCAATCTGTGGTTAGGGTTCTCTTTCAAAAACCTATCTCTAATTAGGTTGTGCAGGCAGCAACACACGATAATAATGTTATCCACTGTTTCTGGTTTAACATTTATGGGAGTGAAAAAGATTCTAAATATCACGCACATGATGCCGAATGCGTTCTCTGACACTCTCCTAACTTTGCAAAAGTGATAGTTTAGAGCTCTTTTTTCTAGATCTTCCACAGCTTGCCGTTTAGGATAGCACTTCATCATGTGTTTATCTAATTTAAAAGCTTCATCGCCCAAAACGACATGTGGAAGTAAAATGTTGGAATTGGGTAGGTATTCTGGCAAGGGGAAAATCACTTTTCCATCTTCAATCATTTTTCCCAGAAGCGATTTCTGGAATATTCCAGAATCTCCTTCTTTCCCGTATGATCCAACATCAACAATGAGAAACTTGCAATTTGCGTCAACTAAAGCAAATAGTACAACTGAAAAGTATTTTTTATAGTTAAAAAATAAACTTCCAGTGTTATTTGGAGCAACTATTCTGACGTGTTTGCCGTCTAAAGCGCCAACTAAGTTTGGAAAATCCCAACGCTCAAAAAACTCAACTGATTTTTTCTTCCAATCAATTTCACTTGGTGGTGGCAAATATTTTACCAACAGTTTTTCTAAAGCCTTTAGAACTTTTGGAACAATTTTTGTTATTTCTGAAGGGGATATCCTATAAGAAAATCCTAAAGATCGGAAAGATTCTCCAGTGGCCAGAAATCTGAAATTAAAAGTTTTTATTAGAAATAATAATGTATAATACTATCTATACATCATTACATACTGCACTAAATTCAAAAAAAAAATAATTGTTGACCTAGAATCATTGCTTAACTTGAAGGGTTCAGAAATTACATAAGTTAGGACTGAGGTGAAGAGTTTTTTTACAAAACCTTTGCCATCATAACAATATAGGTATTGTGCTATTAACAAAAATAATGGCGTATTTAAATTGATTATTATTCATAGGGGATACATAAAGCCAATTTAGTGTTACATTATTACATAGTTTGGGTGTGTTGCAGGGACTGAGTGTAAAGCCAGATGGAAGAATATGAGGGATTATTTTAGAAAACAAAAGAAGGAAGAGAGAAATCAAACAACAGGGTCTGCAGCAACAAAAAGGAAAGCGGGATACTGGGAAAGACTGCGTTTTTTAGATGTGGTGCCAGAGGAAAGATGTAGTTTAACAAATATTGAATCATCGGTCTCTGAAGAATCATTTGGTGATCAATTAGATTATGTTGACGATCTCTTAGATTTAACAGCGTCGAATGTGCAAGGAGATATTTCGGAATGTGAGACGAGTTCAAATACAGGGAATCGTGGGGATGAAACAAAAACAGAAAAGCCAAAACAAAACAAAAGAAAAAAAGTAATGCAAGATTCAAGCATCCTAGGGATCTTAAATTCAAGACAGTCTGCCAGAGAAGAGCACCGCAGGAAAGTTGAACTCCTTTTGGAGAAGAGAGAAGAGGACGAAATGGATTTGTTTTTCAAAACCATGGCCGCCACTACTAGGAATTTTAGTAAAGATTTAAAACGGCAAGCAAAAATAAAAGTGTTTAACATTATTACTGAGTTAGAAGGACTACAACAGGGAGGATTTTCTACTTTTAATTACGACAGTTCGGTGCCATCAACATCAGTAGGCCTACAGTCTAACAGGCACACATACACTGAACGGCCATTGCCAGTGAACGATTTTGTTTTTGATAGTAGTTGGTTGCAAAAAAACAATTAAACCAAAAAACCATCCCGGTTACATTTTTATTTATTACTGATTTACTTGGTTTTGTATCTTTTTTTTCTCAAACGTAGGAGTTAACACTATGTTTAAATGTTTTGTCTTCAAACTTGTCTTAATACTTAACTTGTCTTAAAACTTTGTCTTGGTTTTGTCTCTTATTTTATTACACGTAGGAGTTAACACTATGTTTAAATGTTTTGTCTTCAAACTTGTCTTAATACTTAACTTGTCTTCAAACTTTGTCTTGATTTTGTCTCTTATTTTATTAAACGTAGTAGTAAACACTATGTTTATCTTATGCTTTATTTTTAACCACCAATTTTTGTATAGCACTATTCTACATAAACGTGTTCGTGTTAAGAATAATTGTTTTTATTTTTTGGCCACTTAAGAAGTTTGGTAATTATTAATACGAGGTGTTAGCCCGTCCTACGTACGGGAATTCAGTAGTCAGTTAAAACCGTGTACAATTCAGATCAGCTAGTTTACAACTATAAAGACAAAGTTTCTTGCAGTTTTAATGTGAAAAATCATCTTGTAAACAAATGTTGTGTGACCAAATATGTTTTTTATTCCATCATAGATACGATATGCATTTTAAATCCGATAATTTTACAATAAAACAGTAATTCTGCAATTTTTACGATGTGAAAAGCGTTGAAGTGAGATTTGCAGCGATGAATACATTCATAAACAGTTTAAAAAGCTTATTTTTTAGTTTATACAACACATACCTTAGTGTTAGTGCCAGTTTCATATTCACTGAAATTGGCGTTGCGACTCTGTTATAAACATGCGATTTCAGTTCTTCTACATCCTGGATTTCTTCGTACAAATCAAAGAACTCTTGTTTAGTCAAACGAAAGTATTGCTTAAACCGCAGTTCGTCATCAATCAAATGGTTGTTAACCAGAATGTTGAACACACCCTCATCTTCACGCGTTTTATAAATCTCACTTTCACATTTTCGGCCCTTTGTCAAATTCAGTAGCAACACTTCCTCCTCTTCCATTTCTTCCTCATCCTCCTCTTCAAGATGTAATAAAATAGCGAGTCTATCCATGTCCATATCGACCACACCACACCACTTTCAGAACACGAATGAACAACAATTCTACAATCGCAATTCCGCCAGCGGACAGCGGACAGCGGAGAGCGGACTCCGTTCTCCGCTGTCCGCTCTCCGTTGTCCGCTCTCCGCCGGCCGACTCCGCTGCTAGGAAAACCCAGCTTTATTGCATTGCCTCAAGTGCTGGATGGAAAAAATCCTGCAGCATAGTTAGGTAACGTTCGGCATTCACAGTTGCCGGAAAAAAGTAAGGGCCAATGATGCCTACTCGTGATAAGGCGCACCACACAGTGACGCGGTCCGAATGCAGAGGTCTCTGATGAACTTCTCTGGGGTTTGTGTCACTCCAGTACCGCATGTTTTGCTTGTTTACACACCCACTGAGATGAAAATGTGCCTCATCAGAAAAGAACACAATTGCGTCACGAGGTATGGTTGCAAGCATGTCTTCACAAGATGTTCGTCGTGTCAAATAATCCCGTGCTGACAATTGTTGGACCACACACATTTTATATGGGTGGAAATGCAGTTCACTATGGAGAATCCGGTGGAGAGAACGCCTTGAAATGCCAAGGGCAAGTGCTTGCTTCCGAGCAGAGCGTTTCGGAGATTGCAATACTGCTGCTCTAACTCGTTCGATATTTTGTGGTGTTGTAACACTCCTCGCAGGTCCTCTTCGTACAGATGACACATTCCCTGCTGTCCTGAATGCATTCACCCAATTCACAACTGATTGCCGTCCAGGAACACGTCCGCGCGGGGAAACAGCGAAACGCAAACGGAAAGCACGTTGCACTGCAATTATCGAGTAGTTATTTGAAAAATATGCTTCAACACAAAATGAACGCTCCTCACGTGTCCACTCCATGATGGCAACTCAAAATGAGCTGAAGACAAACTTCCGGTCAGTCACAACAATCATCGCCCACTTCCGCCTCTTTTTGACTAACAGTGCTGCCAACCACCTGCAACTCAAAATAGCAATTTCCCGCGCTCCACCCTGTATATGAAACACTTTTGTATTTACCTGAACTATCGGTCCATTAAACGTAAGGTAATATTATTTACCTATTCAGATTAGAATAAACAGACTAGCTATGAAAATGTGACGAAAATCCATTATCTTACCGTGGTTTTCTTATTATTTGTGTTATTTGTTACCAGCTTTATCGATAAATTAAATTTATTTTTATTTAACAAATGTATTTAGATGTATATTTAATCACCAGTAAATTATGCTGCCGTTAAAACAAAAATAAAATAACACTTGTCCTACAGGCACGTTTGAAATTATCAAAGATTTCTTTCTTTTAACGTTTTTTGTCTTCCATTTTACGATTTAAAAAACACCATGAGTTGATTAAACACCATAGTTCTAAAAACAAATTGTAGTTCTTAGCACTTTAAACCAAATTAATCACACTTGATTACTTACCGTATTCTAAAAAAATATCTTTACCATCACATGAGTATTCTTTGGTATCTTTTAAATTTGGATGTCATAACTGTTTTATATAAAAAAAAATTGTTTGGATTAAACCCTGTAAAGCTAAAAAATTCAGTCGGGTTCATCAAACTAAATGTCAAAACAATTGCCAACAATTGTCAATTCCCTTCGGTTTTGTGGTCCTTAATAAAGTCACTATCACAGTTTCCGCCAAACCTCTAAGGGGTGACTTTTCCCATTAATACCAAGTCAGCCCCCCCCCCCCCGATAGTGTCGCGTGCCACATAGGGGTTAGCCCCCGGGGGGCTTGGGTGCCCTTCTAGCCCCGAAGGTGCCTTTTCTGGCTCATAACGCATCTCCCTTCAGCCTGACAAATATATTGCCTTGTTAGTCTGCAGCTCCCAAATATAAAGTAGGAGGAGGATTTTGATTTTGGGGGTTGTTTACGGTAGTATTATTTGTCATGTTGGTTCATAAAAGTTAGGAATTTAAATATAATCACGCCGGTGTCATAATTGTTCATTGTTTCATGTACAGAAGGGTTTGGGCTTTCAAGTTCAAAGCTAACCAAAAGAACTATCTAAATCTCAAGAACTTGAGCTGTATTTTTTACTAACAATATACATTTTTCATAATTTTGCCCATCCTTCCTTCTTCAACAAGTAAAAGTTTAAAAAGTTAACATCAAATTTTACTTAGCACTGTGGAAGCCAGCTTTACATAGTGTTATGTAGGTAAACTAATTTTGAGTCCGACAGCAAATAAATAGAGACTAGTACTGTAAAATAAACAAATAATAAGAAATATACGCCGATTTAGATACCACTCAACATTTTATCAAATTTAAAATCGCTGACTTATTTAGAGTACAAGAATCACTAAGAACACATGATTTTTGTCATTTTTACATAATACTTAAACACATCTAGGGGATGTTTTAACCATGGGGCTTGAGGTATTACATCACTTAAATACACCCCTTTACCTTACAGCCCCACGTGTTAACCGTGATTTACAGCATCCTGGAAACGGTGTAGAATGGCGGGTATTGGGTAGCAATTAGCAGCTTAACAGACGACAGTTGCCCAGCTGTCTCGTCATCAGCTGTTAGACACACAATCAGCTGATGACATGTTTGTAAACCGTCAAACTGGACGGTTTAATGCAGTCTGTAAAGAGGATGTTGTGATTTGTTTGTTTACATTCGCTCTGTGAGCAACTACAGCATTGCGATTGAAAGATAACAAATGGGGATTTCAAATGGACATATTGTCCACGGGGATTTTTTTATATTGTCTTGAAATGTTCAGAGTTAAAATACATTTAAGGTATTTTTGAATTTTTTTTCAACCACGAAGATTGTTTAATATATCAATTTTTGTAACTAATGAAAGCAAAAGAGATTACTATTTCGGTTGGACATAGTCCGTCTTAGCAAAAGATGTAGTAGATACACGATTACGTTAACAAACGAACCTCGCAGATATCTATTAACAACATCGTAAGTTAAGCAAAATCTAGAGTTCATAATGTACGGTAACTGTAGAGAAGTTGTTTTACAGTTTCAAACGAACGAATGTCATAAATGTTAAAGTAGAAATCAAAAGACAACAAATTACTTGCCAAAACAACTGTTCTCCAAGCCAAATACAAGCTTGGATTTCATTCGGTAGTTTCTTGAGAGAAAGCGAGCTCATTTATATTCAATACGTAGCAAATCAAACTCTACCTTTACAAGCAATAACGTTCAAGTCTGTGTTTAAAGTATTCGCTCTTTGAATAATATAGTTTGCAGATATTCATGAGAGCAAAGGGATATTTTAAAATGTAAATATTTATGTTAAAATATTGCGTATAAATGTCTTTGACTTATTTGTATATAATTTTCATTTGTAAGTCGTATCACGAATCCAATTTTAGTAGTTGTAGAGTCTTGTAAAATTATGTAACAAAAGATTTTATTTTTTTGCGAGAAAACTAAAATGAAGATAAATACAAAAATATTGATTTGATTTTATCAATAAAATAAAAGATGTATTCCAAAGTAGTAAACACAGAAACAAGCCACTAATACCATTCTTATACTTTAATAAAATGTATAATAAATAATTCATTATTACTGTCGCAGCTTACAATCAATTGTTATAAGTTTGTACTGTTAATCGCCTAGCCTAGATATGAGCAAAGATACAGGGTGTCCCGTAAGTAAACAGCCAAACTCTTGGAAATGGTTCTATGTGTCAAAATAAAGAGAAAATCAAGTATAACATTTTTTCAAAAATCACTGCGTTAACCAGATATCCGCCATTTTGTATTTTTTACATATACATTTTTATTTTTGAATTTTTTCATCCGATCTTTATAAAAGTTGGTATGTAGGTTAAGGCATAAAAGACAAATGTTAGATAATAAATTCATCTTGATTCAACTTAAAATTTCAAAATGGCGGGCATTTTAATTTTATAAACTTAAATTACTCACAAATGGCTAATGTTATGACAAAATGTCAAGAACACTTTTATTTAGCATTTTTAATTCCCTATCAAACGGTACCAAGTTCAAAAAATATCAAATAAGAAATAGTTGAAATATTACGATTTTTAGTTGTAAAATGGGGCAAACCTGACAATTGAATTAAATGTAAAGTTTTTTTGAGGATTTTCTTCGTAACCTTTAATTGTACAACAATGATTTAATATGTCACTCAATTGTTTTTTTATCTGTACAAAAGGACAGCAAACATTTTTCATTTCCAAGTTTTTGTGATAAAAAATTGGAAATAAATATTTTTAATAAATTAAAAATTGCATAATCTCTCTTCCTAAAACCCGATCTTACCGGCTCGCGAACTCAATCTATACATCCAGCTCTACAAATTCATGCAAAGTTTCATCAAAATCGAACCAAAACTAATCGAGTTGTCTTGTTCAGGGACTTGCATATATAAACATTTGATCGGGTAGTGTTTGAGCCAACAGGGACAACATGAAAAAAGCAAATCGGTTCCCGGGTATAGGCTCTCCGTGCCAACTACGGCGGTTGCTTCATACCCGTAGGGAAATTCGCGAAAATATGATATAATCCATGAAAAAGCCTAATTCAACTTTAATACAATTGTAGAATACGTTAATTTTATTTTTTGTCCTAAGACGCTAGACACGAGCCCGGAATTGTTGTTCACATTATTCCAGGCTAGACCTAGGGGTTACGGCATTATCGCTTAGATCAAATTCATTGGTGATTTGGTGGGATTTGAACCCGGGACCTCTGGAACCGAAGTCCCGCTCTAACCACTAGACCAATTCGCTCCCCAAAAACTCTATTCCTGTCTCTGTCTATTATACCGGATATTACGTTTAAAAAGATCCTCACAAATATAAAACTATGTATGTAATAGATAATCATTTTGTACTGTATGTAACAGGTTAAGATTAGTAGATTCAGAAAGCATTGACAACGCCGACTTTACCTAGCTTGATTCGAATAAACCATTACTTTCTTGGCATCTTCCAAAACGAACAGTACTCGTAGAAAATGTAAGTCTCTTTATTTGATTAATTTTATTATTGATATAAAATTTCCAAGCCAAAATATTCATTCGTAAAACTAGTATTACTAAATGTAAATTGTCATGAATTGTATTTTATTTGAAATCATGTTAATCACTTTAGCAAATCTTTTCTTTTAGAAAATCAGTTATTCATGTTCCAAATTGTTTTAGAGATCACCAAATTCTATTTTGTTAACTTTTATTATAATTATT